CTGTGTGTCTGCAAGTCCGAAGGAGCAGCCCCTGCAGCCCTGGCTGGAGCAGTCGGGGTGGGGGTGGCTCGGGGGCACCCCAGGGCTGTGCCTGGGCACGGTGCCACGAGGAAACCACAGACTTCCTGCCTGGGCGCTGCGGGGGGAGTGCGGCGAGCGCTGTGAGGCCACGTGGGCTGTGATTTGTGCACCTGCAGGCTGCAGCTCCCGATCCGCCTGCGGGGAATAACGGCCCCTTGGTCGCACACTGAGAGTCAGGGATATGTCTGAGCCTCTGGGCTGTATGTCTGCTGCCAGGGCAGGGACATGTCCCAGCTGTGGCTCCTGTGAGGGACCTTCCATGGGGCTCTCCAGGGAAGGATGGGTGAGCCAGCACTCCTGGCATGAGGTTCTGGCCTGGGCTAAGGCCCATTCACAGCTGCTGCTCCCAGTACAGGGGCGTCTGTAGCAGGGGCAGGGGCTGTTTCCTTCCCTTCCTGACACAGACCCTGGTGCAATCCCAGCCCTCTGGTTCCCATGGCACGGGGATGGCTGGACACTCTCACCTTGGACTCTTGGATGTGCCTGGCATAGGAGATGCTCAGTGCTCCTGGTCAACACCACAGGGTTCAAGGGGTGAAAAACCCATTTCCCCCCCAACAACCTGCCCTGTCCTGTGACGGCCCTCCACCACAGTGACGTGACACCTGCAGCAGAGCTGTCTCTCATATATGGTCATGAATGGCACTGGAGAAGTTCATTGGAGGGCTGGGCTGTTTCGGAGAGGAGATAGCTCCCGATAATGTCTAAAAAGGTCCTGCTGCTTTGATTGGCTCGTCCTGTAGCTGGGCTGGGATCTGCAGAGATATATTGCCCTCTTGTCATCATTGCCCCCATGAGTCCCCAGGAGCTGAGGCAGGGAGTGTGGCGCAGCAGGGATGTGCTGGCAGGGCAGGAGGCTCAGGATGGGCACAGAGGGACTCCTGTCCCCTCAGATGTTGTGGTTGCTCCTCTGGGTACAGCTGTGCAGCGGTAAGTGCCAGTTCCCTTGTCCCACAGCCCAGGGCCAGCGGGTACCAGCACGGTCATAGGATCTGTCTGGGAATGGGATTCTCTGAGGTGCTACTGAGATGAGGGTCAGAAGGTGCTCAAGTCCATGGACCCTGTGCCTGCCTGTCTGGGTGGGAGAGAGTATCTCCTTTTCCAGGCTCCAGACCCTGTGCCTGGCTGGATTCATAGACATTCATAGACACCCTTTTGGGACCCTCTGTTCCCCAGCACTGTGCCTCTGGAGCCGGTGGTGGCCTAGCTGGTGATGGCAGCACCCAGAGATGCCCAGGGCACTCTCAACCTCTGGGGTGCCCCGGAGGGTTTGTGTGCTACTCACTGCCTCCCGGTTCCAGGGGAGCCCTGACCCCATGAGGGCAGTTTGTGCCCTGAAGAGGGGACATCTGCGTAGAGAGACATCCTTCCTGGGGGACCTGGCCCAGTGCAGGGGCTGGGCTGACACCAGGGACAAGGAGGGGATGTAGATGGGGAGATCATTGGAATCACCTTGGTGGGAACACGGAAAGCCCTGGGGATGGGGGTGGGTTTGGATGGTGCGGGGGCAGGTGGTTTGCATGGGAAGCCGGCCTGGGTACACGGGGCTGTTCAGGGGAAGAGAAGTGGGCTGGGGAAGAGCAGGTGCCCTGTGCAGGGCTGGGCACAGTGTGGAGGTGTGCAAGGGCAGGGGGTAGGTGGCCGTTGGGGTAGGAAAAGGTGCCTTGTGCGGTGGGATGGCGAATGACCCAGCAGGGCCAGAACTGCACACCCCCAGCCTTCCGCAGTGCGTGGGGATAGAAGGGACCCCCGCACTGCACTGGGGACAGCCTGCAGGGGAGAGGGCTCCCAATCTGGAATCTCGGACATGGGCAGGGCGTTCCCCCAGACCTGAAGTGCTGAGCCCTGGCACTCTCCTGACTGGTCCCATGTTGGTGTTTGAAGGGGCTGCAGAGGTGAGGCTGGTGGATGGCGGCAGGCGCTGTGCTGGGAGAGTGGAGGTGAAACACAGGGGTGAGTGGGGGACCATGTGTGGTGACTACTGGAGCATGAACGATGCGGCAGTGGTTTGTAAGCAGCTGGACTGTGGGTCTGCTGTTGGAGCTCCTCAGTACGGACACTTTGGGCCAGGATCTGGCCCCATTTGGATGGATGACGTTGGCTGTAATGGCACCGAATCTGCCCTGTCTGACTGCCCACACAGCGGATGGGGGGAAAGTCATGCTCATGACGCTGGAGTGATGTGTTCAGGTAAGGGGAGAGCCTATTCCCCACCTCTGGGGCTGGGATGGGGGAAGAGACCTGGCTTGCCCTCAGGGAGCAACAAGCGGGCACTAGAGCATTGTTCAATGTGGCCGGTCGCACTGCCGAGCTGGGACTGTCATTGCTGGTGTCCCCGGTCCCTCGGGAAAGCCCAGTGGGAACCTGCCCAAGTGTGCCCTTACCTGCCTGACCCTGCGCTGGCTCAGATTAATCCCCACCCTGCCCTGCATTGTCTGTTGATTCCCATATTTCTCCTCTTATTCACCCAGGACCTGTCTGGCAGTGCCAAGGGCCAGGTTCCCCTATGCCAGAGGCACCAAGAGTGACTCATGTGGCCACCCACAGTACTGGGGAAGGGCGTGAGATGGCTAGCTGCTTTGGGGTTGTGCTCCCTGGCAGACACAAGTCCCTTGGCTGAATCAAAGGGTTTTCTTGGAGAGGAGGAGCACTTGGCCTGGTCTGAGGAGCAGGGTGGCATGTGGCACCTCATTCCTCTCCCAGGGTCACCCCATGAGAGCCTGCCCATGGGGACATGGCCCCATCCAGGAGTGCTGACCTGTTCCCCAGCCTCTCATGTCTGTCCCAGCCCCTGGCCGCCTTGCACTTTTGGGTTTGCCAGCATTTATTGGCACTCCCCTGTGCCTGCCCTTGCACTGGGGGCTCGGGTAAGCCCAGGGTTGCTCTCTGTCCACTCTCCTGCCCTCTGCCTGGCTATTGTCCAGGGACATGAGCATCCAGCAGTGCACTCTGGCCATGGCTGAGGACCTTTTTCCTGGCAGGCGGCAGAGCAGGGGGCTGGCACAGAGACCGACCGCAGGTACAGCCTCACTATACTTTTGCCCTGTGACGTGTCCCATCTACCAGCAGTGCCCCACAGCCCAAGACCTTCCTGGGAACAGGGCATGTTTCTGGTGGCACCAAGAGGTTCCTCATGCCTGGTCCTGAGCTCAATGGGGCAGAGCAAGCTGCAGCAGCCAACAGCGCCTGGACTCAGTTCCCTGGAGCCCAAGTGCTCTAGGAGCTACAGTGCCCAGGGACCAGTGCCGGGCAGCCCAAGGCCTGGGGGCAGCAGCAGCTTGTCTGAGCAGTGCCTGTGGCAGCGGGTTTGGGAGAGAAGCAAGCCCACAAGTGCTGGACTGATTTCTGAGGAGCGGCAGGCAGGCCCTGCTGTGTTTGCCATCAGCACCCCCTGAGAGCAGCTGGTCGTGGGGCTTTTTGCCTTTGGCCACCTTGGACGTGGGACGTGGTCAGGGGACTGCCAGAGGGCTGTGGGAACTCTCAGGGGTCTTTGGTTGCTCCAGGATCTGGCTGGTTGGTCAGAGGGAATAGCCCCTGCTAAGGACATATAGTGATCCATGACAGGGACCCTTGGAAAACTGTCTGTGACTCGCACCTTGGTCCCAAAGGTGCCAACATGGTCTGCAGCATCTGCTGTGTGTCTGCAATAGAGACATACCCTTGAGTGCTGTGATGGTGTAGAGAAGGGGTGGTGGGGGGCCTGGATGTGTTTGTATCACCAACAGTCCCCCAACAGCTTCCTCTGGGATGCACAATGGGGACGATTTGGTCACGGCTTGCTTGGAGGTGATGCAGGATGTGGTCATGTATCTGTCAGAGGGCTCTGGGAACTCCCAGTTGTTTTGGTTTTTTCCAGGATTTGTCCGGCTTGTAGAAGGGAAGAGCCGCTGCTCAGGACGTGTGGAGGTCCATGATGGGGACCTGTGGAAAACCGTCTGTGACTCACACTTTGGTCCCAAAGCTGCTGGTGTGGTCTGCAGGGAGTTGCAGTGCGGTGTGGCCCTGCCTGTCGCTGGGCCAGCTCACTTTGAAGAAGGGGTCGGTCCCATCTGGGACGGAGAGCTGCAGTGTGTGGGGAACGAATCCCTCCTCGCCTCCTGCCCCAGGGGGTCCCCCAGGGACCAGCCCTGCACCCACATGAACAGCGCTGTTGTCACCTGCACACATAAGGACTCAGGGTGGAGTGCTGAACCCCAGGGTGGGAAACAGAGCAAGGACTGTGCTGGGCTGGGCTCGAGGACAGAAGGGATGATGGGTTGTCTGCAGCATGAAAATAGAGCAGAAGGAGAAGAAAGGCATGCTGTCCCACTGGCCTCTCCGCCAGCTACCGAGGGCACAAGAGCACCAATCCACCCTCAGTTCTCCTCTTCTGTCCCCAGAGTACACAGGGTTCAGGCTGGTAAATGGCAGCTCGGCGTGTGCGGGGAGTGTGGAGGTCCAGGTGTTGGGGACCTGGGGCACCCTCTGTGCCTCCCGCTGGGATTTCTCGGATGCCCACGTTCTCTGTCGTCAACTCAACTGCGGGTTTGCTGAGTCCATTCCTGGAGGAGGGCATTTTGGGAGAGGAATCGGACCTGTCTAGAGAGACTCATTCCATTGTGACAGGACTGAAGCTCACCTGGGACAATGCCCAGTGATCACCCTGGGGGTCTCACCGTGCTCCCATGGGAACAACGCCGCTGTCATTTGCTCAGGTGATTGCCAGGAAAATGCTGCATTAACTCCATTTGCCCTTTGTGTGCGACATGGCCACCCAAAGCAGGGGTCCCATAGCAGTACAGGCTGAATTTCTCCCTGGAGAAACCCTTGCTTCTCCGGGAGCCTTCTGGAGGGCTTTGCCTGCTCAGACTGACTGCTCTACTGCGGGAGAGCTGAGGACTGAGCGGAAGCAGGCATCTGCCCCCAGGGCAGCGGCTTAGGCCCCAGCGCCACTGCCAGGCCTGGGCTCCTATGTTTTCCTACTGTGGGATGAGTCCAGGATGGGGCTGCAGGGCTCTGCTCCACCCTCTGGCTGCAGACAACCACATCCCACCTCCACAGAGCGCCCTGCAGAGCTTCATCCCACCACTCAGGCAGGAGCTGCCTGGGTGCCCCCAGCAGCAGCAGACCTGGGTGTGAGCTGCAGAGTGGGCCCATGCTTTGCCCTCACGTCTCATCAGCCCAAGGCTCAATCTTGTCCTCTTTGGTCAGAAAATTCCCCCTCACCCTGCTCCCTGAAGGGTGCCATGCTCCCCAGTGCCGCCAATGGCTGTGGCATCTCTGCTCTCCGCAGGGTCAGCCGGCTTTGCATCCCTGCAGCTGGTGGGTGGAGGGAGCCGGTGCGACGGGCGAGTGGAGATCTTCCAGCGTGGGACCTGGGGCAGAGTCCTGGATGACCAGTGGGATGTGCAGGAGGCCAACGTGGTGTGCCGGCAGCTGCAGTGCGGACAGGCAGAGACAGCCTACAACCCCCCAAAGTCTGAGCGAGGGACGGGTCCCGTAGGGCTGCGAGGGGTCCGGTG